ACACTTTAAGCAACCCCCTAGTAGACATTATAGTCAAGAGCCTACACACCTGTATGAGAATAAATCATGATACAGGGCTGGATATATAGTACTGTGGTACATTTTCGGTACAAACCAAGATGTGTCTCTAGCACGGAGTATCAAAAACTGGCACCGGATGCCTGATCAGATTCTTAGTCTTGTTTACGTATTCGTTGGTCGGATATTTCCTGATTAAAATGCTACTGTTGCTTTTTTGTCAAGAGTCTGTCTTCTTCAAGCAAAGTTCTTATTTGGCTGCTTTTTGTCCAGACAAAATTAAACATGAGAACAAAGAGAAAAAAAAGTCTTTCTAGTATCTGTACTAAAAACATATTATTGCACTGGCATTTGATTCTCAGTCCTAATCGTGAGTTTAGCTTTTGAAATGTACATTCACAAATATCAGAGCTACTGTTATATTTCTTTGACTAAATATTCAGCACTCATTATTCACCACTATCCACAGATGCCCTCTATTTAACTTAGTGTTCTTCACGCCCATTTCTAAAGTAATGTCTCCTGTGCACTATCTAAAGCACTCTTGTGTAAGAAATACACTCAACTCGCCTTGAAGAGGTGACGATGATGATGTTGAATCCAAACCAAAATTAACCAGGAATTCTGTTGCTGATGTGAAGCTTGGGTCACATTATGTTCGAAACAGGCAGATGTAGGATTTTACGGCCTCTGTTTCCCAAAGGCAAAAAGAAATCAAGCTGTCATCAAACACGTCAAGCTGCTGGCGCTGATACAGCAGCTGTCAGGGTGGAGAAGCAATCTGGGCCGTCTCTGAAATGACCTGCTCCATTCAACAGCCATTTGAGGCCTGATATACCAACTGTGAAAATAAACGCACACACCCGAGGTCCGACAGGGGAAGAGGCTCATCACTGTATCGGGGCCACACACACACACACACACAGGGCTGACAACCACCCACTGCTGCCTGCGACGACATCAGTAAAACCAGCGAAAAAACAAGACAACTGCTACTGTCAGCCTTGTTGCACACATGGCCAGCAAACCAGAGCAGGTGTGTGTGTGTGTGTGTACAAATCTAGCAGGATATGCTAGAATCAACAGGCCTCTGCTCAGCGCTGTGATTCAAAGAGACCCCTGCATACAATCTGTCTTCATATCCAAACAGAGTATTAAAAGGAGACAGGAAGTGGCTCAGTGGGCTGAGATGAAATAGATACGGTTCAGAGTCAGGACTCTGGTCCATTAAGCAGTGCGCAACATACAGGGGTTAAAAAGGGTCAGTTCAACAATATTTCCCAATTACACCCATAATGCGGTCTAGCTATGTAGTTTCAGTTTTATGCTGAGGCTACCCGCCTGAGTACCGTCATGAAGCTGAGTGCAATTTAATCTGTGCTTCTCAAAGCATTTAAAAATGACATCTGAGAAACTCAACAATGTGCCTTTCAGGGAACAGTCATTCTACAATATCTACAGTTGCCAATTTTCAATGGGATCACACTGTCAGCATAGACAGAGAAGGGAAATGGAATATTTTTAAGGTGTAAATATGTCAGCAATGTTATACAACAGATGTGATTACAGATATATATGAATGACTGGAATTCCTTCCAACTTGTCTGCTTCTTGGGGGAAAAAACTGTTACTAAGTCAGACATTAAATAGCTTTTTTCATCTTAACATCTTTCCAGAACGTAATCATCTTTTTATTTGTTAATAAACCAAACATTTGCTGGTTCCACCTTCGCAAATATGAAGAGTTGATGCTTCTCGCTCTTTTTTTTTTCTTTTTTTTTAAATATAACTGAATATTAAATATCTTTTTATCTTTATTAAATAACTTCTTGTTGGACAAAACAAGCTATTTTAGAAGCCACCTTGGACTCTTCTCATTAATATGACATTTTGTTCACTTACTGATTAATCAGAACATAAAGTTAGTCAGTTTAAACCCAACTGGAGAGTATTACAAATGTACCAACTCAAAGATTCAAGATGATACTCCTAAAGGCTGTTTAAATGTATGTGCCAAAAAAAACCTTCATAGTGTATTATTGCCATTATTATGTCTGAGTCTTCTAAGGTATCACTGGAATGTTACTGTAAGACTGGTGTTTATACTGACCTTCTGATACTGAATGGTATTTTCATTACTATAATCTTTTTTTAATCTGCATCACTGTAATGAGTTTTTATAGCATTATATAGTTAATAAGAGTTATAACTCACGTGTTCACTAAAAAATAAAGAAGCTATAAACCCAGCAAATATTTCAAGCATTCATTAGACATGAGGAAACCAGGGCCTGTTGCCACAGCAGCAACATTACACTGTTCCAGTTTGAATTTGAACGGCGCAACAACGTAAAAGCCACTTGGGCACATTTTAGCTGTACAGTACTGGATGAGGTAACAAGGACCAGGAGTCAAGCTGCATCAATAATTCAACAATATTCCACATGCACAAAAGGCTACCAGGTGGCTAACGTAGTGTGAGGAACCGGGAGCATTTAGGGCAGAATAGAAGAATTGTGCGCCCTACAAAATGAAACGGAGGGTGTTGTAGTCGGGCAGGACAATGGGAGACTCCCAGGCCCCCACTGGTCGCGTCCTGATGCCAGATGATCCAAATGCTCGTTCCCTTTCTGTCTCCTTTTCCGAAACTGGACGCCTCTCACTGTAAATGAATGGACGCACACTCCATTTCCACCAGTCCTCCACCAAGGGGAGAATTCAAACCCGTCGGCCTACAATCAAACAGGACGCGGTTCTTCCTTCCAGGCGCATCTCGCTGGATCATTTCTAACCTCTAGGAACATTTAGAAACACAACACGCTTCCTCCCACGTTGAAAAGCAGCACACAGAGCTACGTGGCCTCCGTGAGAACAACAATAGAGGCCGACGAGGGTCCTAAACTTCCCTGCGGTTTCCAAAAAAAAAAAAAAGAAAAAACCAAAAGACGCGACCATCGCGTCCCGTCGACTATTGTTTGGGGAACCGGAGATCTCCAGCGCCCCAAATCCTCCCTTCTCTTTCCGCGTCAATGCAGCGCACATGCACCCACATATCCGTACCCACCAGCAGCATTTCAAGACATTTTCCACAGAAAAATACTACTTACTTATTCCGGATCGTCCATTCAGGTATTTTCTCACTTTCCACTTTCTTTCCACTCAGCCGTAGCACCGTGCGCCCCGCCTTCGCTCCACATTGGCCCCTCCTCTGTCTCTCCCCCCCCTCTCTCACCCTGGGGGACCGGGCCTGTGAAACGGTGTGGTTCAGCCACAACACATTTATCACCGCTGTGATGTTTCTGTGTGTGCTCTGTGAAAAGAGCCCGGCCAGCATAATGTCACAAAGCCAGTGGTTCCCCAGGCCCATAAAACAGAGGGGGAGTTTATGGAGCAGCTGATGGGAGAAATCCTCCAAAACCATCAACATCATCATCAGATATTTTTAAATACAGTCCGACCTTTGTGGAGCTGTAAAGAAACATTTATGTGCCCACACCAGCATCATCTAAAGACATTTACATACCGAGTTTGGATATAACCAAACCAAAAACCTTGCAATTTGTCGTACTGAAATAAAGCTGTGAATCATGTCCTGTCCTCACATATGAGACATATAATTTAGTACTAAAAAGAAAAAACAATGCAAAAAGAAAGTATTTATCTCATGCATTTCTTGTATATCTTATATTCTTTTAATGATTTTTTTTTTGTCAAATTATTTAAGAGGCAAAAATATTGAACAGTATTTTGCTAAATTCTATGTGGCTTTTAACGATGTATGTGTTCAGCTGGTTAAATCTTGCTGAATGTGTCATATAATTGCTGAGTTTCATCAAGATACTGACGACTTTTTCCTTTTTTTGTTACATGAACTTTTAATTAAAATTGTATTTAGGCTATTATTGAGGAATCATTTTACAAATGAAATAGGAAAATGAAAATAACTGTCCAACAATTCAAAACAGGTATTTTCATTAACAGCTACAATGATTTTCTTAACTTTGTCATTTTGTTTCTTCATGTTGTCATTCTACAAATAGTCTAACGAATGTTGCACATGGCTCTGAGGGAGATTTGGATTATTGTTTTTAAAAATTTACTTGACTTTATTGATTGCCATAATCAAGCAGATTTCTCACTGTAAGAACAAACCAGAGACCTCAACACCTCTCAAAGAAATTCTTATAAGAAATAATAAATATTTTGACGTGTTAGTGCTTAAAATAAGATCCGTGGTTTGGGACCCCTCAAAGGGTTCACGAGATGATTAGCAGGATAACAAAAGCATACTGTAGTTCTTCTACACAAAATTTTATTTATTGACTAATATAATCTTTGCTTTTTTATGAAAAACTGGACAGATTTACCTCATCAGGCCTCTGAGAGTAGAACATTTCTGATGAACAGCTCTCAACTCATTGACATTTTATGTTTACGGGGTCAAAAGGTTTAAAAGCTGAGAACCACTGGTTCAGATAACTAAATACGTTTTCCTACTTAGCAAATAGCCATTCGTGTCTCCAAAGCGAGACTTTTGGGCTTCTCTGTGCAATTTAGGTGCTGTACTAAAGTAACAGCTTATGAACTGATCTGTGACTGTGGCACTCAAAAACACAAATATTTGGGCCTGTTTACCGTTTTATTTCTCATGCTCACATTTCGGAGTGCACCATAAAAAAATGATGTTAGCGTAATGACAATTTTTAAAAAACAGATGTTAGTACCCCCCCACCCCCACCTGTGATCTATTGTTCTCTCTAATAGGAGGATGTCACTCTTGTGGCGCTCTGATAAAGGCTGGTTTAAACAAAATGTGTCAGCATAGAAATAAAACGGTAAACTGAGGTCACAGTATTTGATTATAAATTGTTTTGTCTTTGGAATGTCGTTACCCCAGTCCGTACAGTCCATACAATGATAACAGTAAGCTCTTTAGGATAAAACATCAACTACATTTCTTCAGTCTGTTGACAATAAAAGAAATACTGGAAAAGAAGCAATGTTTATTTTTTCATCAAGGCATCACAATTGGTAATTGATTCCAGCTATTAAATGAACATCCATCAACAAAAAATTAAAACCTTCTTGTTGTCACAATTTTCTGAAGTTATCATTAAAAGAAACCTTGTGAAAAAGGTACGAACCCCCCAAAAAGGAAAAAAAAAAGAGTGCACAGCGTATTTTCAGTGTCAAATCACCAGATTATTTTTAAATGGATGTGATGATTTTTGGCAGCTGATCGATATGTAAAGTGTTGTCAGCCACGCCAGACTCCTTGGGAAATTCTTCTTCTCCATACAAATATCACAATGTGTGAAACTGCAGTGGGTCTACAACTACAAAACACATGTAGTTATATGTGTACTGGGACTGAACAATATAAATACTTAGCATTGTTGTCAACTTCCCAGGAACTAGAACTTATCAAAATACTTCACCACACATTTCCAAATTTTGCAAAACCTTAAATTTTAATTTTCACTACTTGTTCATTGACTCAAAAAGTGGTTTCTTATCATTACAACTAATCGATAAGTTAAGTACATTGACAGAGAAGACAGCCACGGTATTGCACATACAATTGCAATCCTCATACAAAGTTCAAACACACACACACACAATCCTAAGTGTTCGTACACACTGAATCACGCAGTCCACTGCTCACACACCCACGTTACATTTACATATTCACAATCATACAGACTCAAAATAATGCTCAATGTTTAGTGCCTACCCCGTGACACAGTAAACAAAACATTCTTTGACAATAAAAAAAAGGGAAAACAAAAGCCTGAAAATAAACAAACAAAAAAATAAAATAAACATCTTTTCCACTGGCAGGGCCTGCAGGGGCCTGACCAGTGTTGTCTGACCCTGATGAGTCCAGATCCATCTAGGCCAATCCAGTCCGGTCCAGTCCTCATGTCGCGCCTCGCCTGAGTGAGTCCATACATATGGAGTCATCGTCTAAAAAAAACCCCAAAAAACAATTTCCCCCCTCTGCTGCTGTGTCTAACCTGTCTTGTGTACCTACTCGTGTTGTGTTTTAAAGAAAAGAACCGGTCCATGTCTGGTTGGGAAGAGTAGTTGAAGTAGTAATAGTAGTAGTAGTGGTGGTCGTCGGCCTGCCGCGTAGGCTCAGTAGGTGGCGCTGGTGGGCTCCCTCCCCGAGCTGAACAGCATGTCGGCCTTTGAGCTGATGATGTAGGTTAGCAGCAGGGATGTTATCAGCACGCCGACACCCACACCCAGCGTCAACATCTGGGAGGAGGACGAAATAAGTTACCAAACAACACACATTAAGGCAGTATTAATTGATTTTTGTGGCCATTCTGGGGGCAGCTGAACAAGATGTAAATATCACTTATCCTTATTTGTTAGCAAATAGTTGCCTATTTATACATCTAGCAGACACGGAGCAACATTAGCATTTATCTGGAGCGTTGTTTTTGTGCAACTGTTGAATTTAAGTCAAATATTTACTCTCCTTTTAGCTCTATTTTGGTCTCGACCAACACCTGAGGGAAAACGTGGCTCATTAGCTGCAAATTGACACTGCATGTAACACCTGTCACATTACACATAGTAATATGATACACTGTTAGTATGAAAACATTAGGTTAGTGCAGCCTTAAAGTCACAATAGGTGCGTTTGAGATGACTGCGGCTGACTTTTGCCGACTTGATGGTCTAACGTGAGCTGCAGGTGACTGAAGGGGCGGGGTATAAAAACAGCGCCGTCGTGTCGGACACACTCTACCTGCATCAGCTTGCTGTGAGCTGAGATCAATGGATGGTCTCATGGCATTTTTCTTTGCAAATGCCGTGAGACCAGGCAATAGTGTGGTTCCAACTTGGTGCAGCCAGAGAAAAGCAACTGCGGCCGCTGGGCTCAGAGCCTGCAGCTGCCTTGCTCCTGCGAGGAGTTTTGCATCGCCGGTGAAAGTCGGACACAATTTCTAACCAGCGTCCCTTATTTTTAGTCCAGCATGCATCACGTTAAGTCAGCGCTGCAAAGCGCCACATGAAGTCAAACGCACCTTACATGTGCAATTTGAACATATCTGACTTTGGCATTTAACTGTAAATAAATAAAATCTAATTTTGCAGTTTTCACTTATTCCCACAATTTCATCGTAAAAAAATGCCAAAAACATTGCAACTTTGATCGCAGTTTTTTATAAAAAGCTGTCGCAGAATTAAGTATTTTAGGCTGCAACAATCACAAAAAAGGCCCGCGAAATCCTGCAGGGACTGATCTATAATTTTCTGAAGCCATCAGCAACATTTAAACATTCACAAACTGATCGCCTACTCTGTTGTTTCAGGAGAAACACAAGCCTCGTCATTAACCACAGGATGTTCCCAATGTGTAAACGTGTGTAAGTGTGTTACATGTGTTTGACTCTGAGGAGCGAAGGGCAAGTTTACCTCCAGTTCATGACTGGCCACCAGGAATATGCGTCCTTTGATGATCTTCCACCTGGACTCGGTCCATGTTGAATAATTTTTGGAGGTGTACTCGCCCAGCAGGAAAGCTGGAGACTCTGCTTTGGAGAATTGTACTGTGGAGCGTACGCAGTAACCCTCCCTCTGTGTACTGTTGGGAGGAGCCGCACCTTGAACCCACATGTATTGGTAATTCTGTGGGAGGACACAAGGGGAGGGAGGGTGTCACAGGGTGGGGGTGTGGGAAGTACATTATTTCTGTTTTAAATGAGTGGAACAATGGCATTCAGATTTCCCTACTTAACACCAATTATATAATTCTCAAGCAGAAATATTAAACATGTTCCTTCTCTTTGTTTTAAATGACAGCAGACTGAATATCATTTGCTTTTTGTAGTGTATGTCATTTAAGACTAATGATATAAGATCAATGAAACATAATCATACGTTGCTGTCGTAAACGTTTCCCTGTCATAACTATACATTTTTTCAGTTTTTCCCTTTAATTTCCTTTTTCAAGCTGGTTTATAAAGAGATGAAATAATAGAGATCTGAGATCGCTTCTTTTCTTTGTGGCATAATTTGTCTTAGTACATTACATGAACAAACTAAATCCAAGTAAATCAATGAAAGCAAGGCAGTTCTAAGTATTACTTGTTTGTTCTTTGTGTCCTTCTCATCCTCTCTCTGGTTCTGGCAGTTTTCCTGGGTGGTGTTGATAGTGATACCAGTCAGGTTAGCCAGCAAGCACTGCACCAGATGGGTCAATGTGTTGGTTTGCGCATTCACGCTGACATATAGGTTTACGGGCCTGTTATCTGACAAGCAGAAGATACAAGAAATCAAGTTTTGTCTCTGGAAATAATATAAATGTCACCACTGGACACGCATAACCCCCCTTGCTGGCTGGAGGATCCACCAGAACATGTTTACATATCTCCACTGCTCTGTTCCCATAAAAAAGGGTAGCTGACTGCCCATCTGGCTGTTTTATTAAAAGCAAATACCAAAGTACAGTAGTGACATTCATCATTTCCCCAGCAGCTACAAAATCAATACATATTAGATAAGCAGTGTTTATAATTAACAGTCCATTAAAAGCAATTATTGTCCACCTTCGTATGAGTCTAGTAAATAAAAGAGGATTAGCTTGTATACCAACTTACTCAGTTGGCCAACTACGTTAGAGGTGACTATTTGCTGGAACCAGGAGTTATTTGACCGAACAAGGAAACCGTACAGCATTCGTGTCACCTGAGGAAGAGAAGACAGTTAGACAGAGGCAGTCATCTGTGCTCAGTTACAAAATAAGACACAATAAGACACACCAAGAAAAGTGAGTCATTGGTAAGAAATCTATCCAGACAGGCAACAAGAAAAACCTTTGTCTGTCTTTGAATTAATGATGATACAAATTATTTAAAAAGCACAAGTAATGGAAAGAGACTAAACAAGCTGCAATTAAATAAAGCAATATGCAGAGGAAGAAAACAAAAAAACATACATTAGGGTAATAAAAGGATCTAAAAAAGGTCATGTGAATATAACGTGTGGGAAGGTGAGGGCTTGGAAAATCTCAACAGTAAAAACAGCGTGTCTGCAAGTTAATCAACTCCTACTGTTAATACAACATTTGAGGGCAATTAAAATGGAAAATGAATACCAATGTCATTGCAAGAAAATGAAAGCAACTTTTGATACTGTGCGTCAGGGGATAATCTGCATTACTTGCATAGATTCTCACCACAAGTGAATGAAGAAACAGAAATAACAGAAAGACCTCTACAATTTAAATTCAGATACTTTGACTGTATTCCAGACTTTGACTTTAGAGAACAAAAAGACTTTTCTTCGACTCGTTTGTTAATTGTGTTTCTGTGACTTGCAGTACTTACTTTGTATTTTCTATTTAACATATTTATTGTTATGCATCAATATACCAAGGTAAATACCCTGTATGTGAAAACCAATAAACCTGATTCTGATGAAAAGTTGGAATTGACAAGGCACAGATATATAGGAATAGTGAACTTGAAGATAAAGTAGCCGCCGGACAAGCTTGAAACATTCAATAAAACCCCACGTGAAATCCAACTGTCTTACTATTTGAGAGTCCGCGCTAATATTCTTCATCTGGGCTTCTTCTCCTCCTGCATGCAAGTACAGAGCCTGGGCCACCATCGTGGCCACCTTGGTCAGAGCCTGAAAGATGCATGATGAGAAATGAAGAATATATGAATTAGCTGTTTCACAGCAACATCTGTATGAAATTCACAACAGTAAATCAAACGGTGGCATTATGAAGACAACTTAAACATTGCCCGACAGGTTTTCACTTTCAAGATTTTAAATATAGAAAATGTAAAATAAGAAAGTCAGCAAATAATGAAAAGTGGTTTAGATAATGACACAAGTGCCTGACAACTCCCAAACAAACATCGAGAACAACTATTTGAAGCAGGTGTTATAGATAAAATACAATTTTTGAGAATGTAGAATGACTCTGCAACAACATGGCCTAGTACTTACTTGCATCCAATTAACTGTATTTTAAAACTGGGAAACATCCCATTTCTCTATTACTTGTCAGGCTGAAAGTCAAATCTGATCCATCTTATCGGATACAGGAGATTTCATGTTGCCATCAGTCTGACTGACCACAGTGCAGCAGAGGCTGTGTGCCGGCTTTTTAAGAGCATGTGAAAATGGTGGATATTGGTGATTAACAGCAATACCTTAGCGGTGTCAGTGACGTGGTCAAGCTGCTCCTCTGGTGTCATGTTTGGAGGGTACGATATGTTCAGGTATTCTGCATTATCATACATACTCCCATAGAACCTGCACACGGGAGAGGAAAATAAATGAAGAGAACATTTCAACTCCTTGAGACAACAGGTCCCATGACTATAATGAAATGTAATGGTGTGTTTCAAAAAACCCTCAAATCACCTATTAGTGAAAGCAGACTGGTGATCCTCAATAACAACACCAGGGATTGGCCGATCTCGCAGGAAACGCTGGAAGGATGAGGGCGGGAGTGGCTGAGAGAAATTTGGTTCGTCCACTGAGACATTTGCATTTGTAGCAGCCACACGCAGCTTTCCAATGAGATTCGTCACCTGAAACAAAACATTGGAGGGAATGACAACTAAAAAAGGTTATACATACAAATAGCACACTTGTTTCATCTTTTATCCGAATTTGCTCTTAAACGGTCATTAATATTTAAATTTGTAGTGGGTTTTACAGTTAATAATCTGAAATCTGAAAATACCATTTTATGTTGCAGATGTTATATTCATAGTATTTAACATAGCAATAGTGCTTAAGGATCATTTCCATCTGTCCCTGTTTTAGTTCTGATATTTGTTCAAAGCCGTTTCTTTTTTGAAGGATATCATAAGAAATACAATTTCAATGTTGTAACAGTGTATTTTAACTTAATCATCCTCTCATTAGGTTACTGAATTTTTAATTCAACAATACGCTTTTGTGTTCTCTGTTTCTATACTGCGAATGCAGTACCTCTAGTTTGAGTTAACCTATTCTATACTTCTGTTTGGACATCCTATTCTGACTCTTCAATGTCCCTGTGTGAGATCAATAAACTCATCTTATGAATTATTGCAAACTTAAGCACTACAACTTTTTAAAAAGGTATATTTAGATACAGTAAGCTATCAAACTGCTGCTGGTGGTGGAGCAGAGTTGTGTAAGAGAAGAAGCTCCTGAATACACGGATACAAACCTCATCATTGACACTGCTGTTCTTCCTAGACACAGGATCAGAGTGAAGCCACAGCTTGGAGTCCGAACTGAGTCCCACCTATGGTGAACAGATTCAACATACTGATATACTACACACACATGGTCTAGCACATCTTCTTTACTGATTTTGTAAAAAGGTACAGCTACAATTATTTTGTTTAATTGTATGTTGTATTTGTTTTGTTGTCTTATGTTTAAAAAGGTAATTTGCTTTTTGGCTTTTTCCCCTCTCTTTTATTGATTTATCTATCTTTTTTGTGCATGTAAGAGAAAAAGCCCAAAGTCCACCTCAAAGGGAGTTCCCATCACCAACAGAAAACACTGCTCTGCACTGTCTGAAAACAGCTCGTTTGTAGTCCAGTTTTGGATTTTTCATTAGTTTTTATTTGGATTTCGTTTTGACTTTTTGTTTTCAATTTCAGTTAAGTTTTAATTATTATTTAATGTGGGTTTCCTAGTTTATTATTTTTTTGGAAAATGCTTAGTTTTACTTAATTTTTTATTAGTTTTAGTGTTAATTTTAGTCTTTGTCGCTGCAGGATGCCAAGCTCACTCAGTTCAGTTTAGTTTTTTCACAAAACATTAAAATACAAGTAGAATCAGAAATATTTGTGAAAAGGGACACCCTTTTTTAAGCTATCTGAAGCTTGTACATAGGGGCACAAACATTAATTAACTCAACATCAAACTATATCTGTATAAACAGTATTGTCTAATTGTAGACAGAGCAGGGGCGTCCCTCTCTAACTTCAAGAAGCTCTTGAAAACTCATCTCTTCTGAGAACACTTCCTCCTAACATCTAACATGCACTTCCTGTGCTCTTCTTCTTCTATCCCCTACAATGATCTTGTATTGATTGCACTTTTTGTTAACTCTTACTTCCTTCCCTAGGTATTTACCCCATTGATGTGATATGTACTATGAGCTCTTACTAGTATTTATTGCTGCTCTTACTAGTATGTATTGTCAGTTGTAGATCTGTATTTGATGCTCTGTTGATGCTTGTATGTTGTTCCTCAAATGTAAGTCGCTTTGGATAAAAGCGTCTGCCAAATGAATAAATGTACATGTAAATGTATATATCTGTATACCTCATAGGGATATACCACCCAGCCCTATTTGGGGATCCGACCTTAATACATTTTTGAACCAGCCAAATTGTGTCTACTGAGCATCAAGAAACAAAAGTTGGCTGGTCAGATTAGTGGTGTTATTTACTTCTTCTTTGTTCAGTTAGATCATCCTTTAAAATCATAGTTTCCAATTTTAGACTACACACTTTTGGTACCTGTGCTGTCACTAAACAATACTTTGTCTTGCATTTAAGTCATTTTTAAAACTCTAAGTATTCCCTTAAAATCTGGTCGTCTGTGTAGGTTGATACATATAGAACGCAGATGTGTTACTGGAAAGATCTACAACGCACACCTGTCCAATCTCCAGTACTGAGTGAACATTGTCCAAGTCCACAACAAACTGATTGTTCTTCATATCGTACACCATCCTCGAGCTGCCAATGTAGTCAAAGGTTTCCTGAAGTCAAAGAGTCAGAACAAATGTACAGACAACATGAGTAGGACTGGCAGTACAACATCAAATCTGGCAAGTGTGTTGAGCACAGTGGGGCATACAATGGTGCGGAAGCAACTGACCCCTTGAAAGAAGGTGTAGAAGATGTTGTGTTTCAGTTCGGCTAACTGGGCATTTCGCAGAGCGTGAGCAGCCGCCAGCAGAGTGACAAAGCCAGAGACTCCACTCTCTGCCCCTGGAGTAATGTCAAAGAAAAAAGACTTGCTGTCCAGCTGCAGAGAGGAGGGAGAGGGAGAGAGATCCATCAAGCAGATATCTTACCTAGGTAAGTAGGTTAGTTCAATCTGCCATGACCTATTTTTAATCATACCATAAATCACGAGGGACTGTGTAACTAATCTCTCAACAAGTCTTCTGTGAATCCAGTTTCTGATTTCTAATCACTATAATTGAATATGTTCTCCAATATGGTTCTCACAGTTTCATAATTGCTTCCAATAAAAACATCAAAAGCAATCTGTTGTCTTTAAGTGTTTCTATTGGAAGTGTGATTAGCTCACGGCCGCTTTATCATCACTTTCATTTATGCGTTTTCTTCTCATAGCTCTTGTTCTCAATAACATAAAATATAAAATGTATTTACACGGGAAGCAAAGTTCAGAAAGACTGCCAGTAGCACAGACTGTAAGTGTAACATCATATGACATGTATTACAAAGCAGGAATTATCTTGAACTTGGCTTTTATACTGGAAAGCTGTGAGTGAGATCACTGCAGATCCGGTTTTCCTGAACTCACAAGGGCACGTTAATGACTAACAAATGTTGTACTGGAAGAAATACTAGAACAGGCCTATTTTATCACTTTTGCTTAGACAAAGAAGAACTCTTTCCTGTAACTCACCTTGGCTGCTGCTATGACCACACTCTCCAACGGCTTGTGGCCCTTGTCTGTTATGTTGAGAGGTTTGGTGGAGGCCCAGACATTTTGGTCACCCAGCGGGTCACAAACATACTCTAAAGGGAGGTACAGACCCAATAAAACACTGGTCAGAAAACAATCATTGAAAAAAAATAAACATTTTGTGTATTGATATTTATTGGTTTGTATAAATACCCGGGGTGATGCTGAAGTTGATGTCGTTTCTCCTCATGCAGGTGGCTGTGTTCGTGACGGCTGACATGTGGGAGTAGAGCTGCATGGCGCACAGCGGGTACTGAGGGCTGCTGCCGTTCACGGCACGGTTGTGGTCTAAGTAACACTGCCAATGAAGAAAAGCGTACACATGTGAAATGTCTTTGTGTGTGGGTTTGTTTTTACAGACACAGAAACCACAAAAATATTAACAGTATTTTAATGAATCTCAAATTGTTTTCAATCCTTAGAACAAGTACGAACATATACAATTGGGTCTGGTGCTTTTGCTCAGGGGCACATTGGCAAATACTCTAACTACCATGTCTGGCGCTACAAATATCACTTTGACACAGTAGCTGTGCTGGGCATCAAACCTGAAACTCTCTGTATACACAATAGTTTCCCACGTCTCCCCTGTCTTCTTATCTGAGACAGGGAGCAACCACAAAGATTTCAACTTAAAAAAGTAAACTGTAAAATGAATACAGCCTCTGGTCATTAAAATGTTTCAGTAACCACATAAAGTCACAAATACGGTCCTTCACAGAGCAGTATAAAGAGATTTAGGCCACTTTAAATCTAAAGTCCATCAACATCAGTGAGCTCAAACTGAAAGCTGAGATAAAACAGAACCGAAAGTCCAAAGAAGCAATGTTAGCTCTATTCTGTCAAAGCATGAAGCCTGCTGAGAAGGAGAACCATATGCACACTTTTACTGCATCAGAAGGGGGTATTTTAAACCTCTGTAATGTGACCTGTTTGTATTTCTCACATAATTGGCTTTAGAAAGAAGATGATCTCATGTGCTGCTGAAACAGCATTACAGGCATCATTACTAATCTCACCCATGATTGGGACAAGCTCAGATCAGCTTTAATTGCAACTGTACTGTTTTGTAAAGGGTTTCTATTTTGTAAAGGGTTTCTATTTTTCAAAACCAGAAAAATTTAGCCCTTTTGTGCCGTGACAGAAAAGCTGAACAACGCAGTAACTGCAAGTACAAAGTGATCATATAAAACGGCATTAACAGACAAAATATCAGCTTCTGTGGCAAACTTCACTTGGATCCTGTCATATTACCTGTCGTATGACCTGAGTGTCATTGTCGTCTTTCAGAGAGAAGATGGGGAAGTCAAACTCCTCAAAGGACAGTCCATTTCCCAAAGGGTTCCACACTGTCGCATTACAATGGGCCAAGGCTGGATCGTAGCTCTCTGAATACACGCCTGGGGGAAATACAAAGACTGAATGTCAGCAGCCGTAACACTAAAGCAGGCACTCATGACGTGCGTTCTGCATGAGCAGATTTCTTTGAAGTCATTTAAATACATTAAAGCTAAAACTGGTGTTGGTAATCATCAACATGACTGTTATGCCATGACTGAATGCGTCTATAAAAATGTCATTATTAGTACTGACCCCACCCCCTGGACGTTTTCATATTTTATTCTTTGGTATAAGAATTAAAATGCACACACAGTTGAAAAGTGATTCCTGAAGTAAAAGTCTCATTTCTCCATAAACAAGGTACAAAGTACAAGGTAAATTTATTCGTCATATTACAACAGGGTTGTAAAATGAGACACAGTTTGCACCAAGCCTAACATTCTGCTACGTGTGCCACAAACGGCAGGTGAATGCTGAAGATTATAGCGTTGAGAAAACTCAGGGTACAATCTGCAGCTTAAATCAACTCACTTTTGGATTCTGAGTAAATTTTGCCAAGCATTTTGAATATGCTCTGATTTTGCACCTGTGGCTGGCTACTTCTTCACAAACTAAGTTGGAATAAATAAAACTGATGGAAAAAAGTAAATGGAAATGAAGACTGGGGGGGGGGCCTTCCAGATCCAGCGACTTCTCTCACTTTACAACTCTTGATTGTGATTTCTGATAAAACATGTAAAACAACAAAACATGAATGAATTAGCTTTTTTAAGTGTTGTACTATGACCTTTAGCATTGTGCGCCTGAAGCTAATCTTGCCCAGATAAAAAAGTACTGGTCACACATGCAGCGCTGAATTTATAGTATCTCTGTGGCATTTTACAAAAAAATATAAGTGATGAGACATTAAATCTGTGCTGTAAAGTCAAACATGACTATATGGTGACACTACAGTGTTGCAGAAACTGTTCACAGAACATCAGAACCAATTAGCTTGGATTAGAGCTTGTGATTTCAAGAGCTGCGCCCTAAACTAAACTACAATTAATTTTTGTAACCGGTGTAACTGATGGACAAGTCTTAGCAGGCAAACTCCCACCCACCTGTGTTCTCGTTGGGACAGGTGGTGTGTGGAGAGAAAGCCTCGGGCGGGTTTGTGTTTGGCGCCACAACAGCAACGCCAGCCACCCTGCCGGGGCCGTTCTTCAGCTTCATCATGATGGATCTGACGAGTAGACAGTCGGCACGGGGCAGAGGAAACGATACGATGCAAATGCAGGTCAGACATGGGTTTGAAATGTGGTTCAAGTTTCTTTCCTCAGGGTAAGACCAGATTTGCCAGATATACTCTAATGTACATTTCTATTATTGACTGCTCATGACTGATTGGGATTTACTGCCATATCCTGATGTTGTAACTTCTCTCCTATGTCATACCATTTCAGTTAAAACCAACAATCTAACATTTAGATCCAACTCGAGCTGTGATTGACCAGCTGTGCAGAGGTGATAAAAAGGAGCCAGGGTTTGAACTTCTCTCTGTAGCCCCTTTCTTTTTTTCCTTTTATTTAATTCTAGACAAGTATTCTGTCGCTTTTCGCATGAAAAACCGAGTGACTTCCCTTCACAACAACTGTTAACAATATACCCCAGCCCTTACTCCTGTTATGAACAAGACATGGTAACTGTATTTATTTAAATTTTTAATATATATATATATATATATATATATATATATATATTTAAATATATTTAAACACACATACACGCTTACTGTTTTATTTATTTATTTTTTTATATATTTTTTTAACACACACACACACACACACACACACGCTTACTGTTTTATTTTTAATATATTTTTATTTTTTAACAAACACACAAACTTACTGTTTTATTTATTTATTTTATTTTTAATATATTTTTATTTTTTAACACACACACACACACACACACACACACGCACGCTTACTGTTTTATTTATTTATTTTATTTTTAATATATTTTTATTTTTTAACACACACACACACACACACACACACACACACACACACACACACACACACACACACACACACACGCTTACTGTTTTATTTATTTATTTTATTTAAATTTTTCTGTTTTTTTTTTAAAACACACATACACTTTGATTACGTTACGCTTTAATTGTTTAATGAAATGTATGGGGCTGATTGTTCTTATGTTGTGTATATATGATGCTTTGGCAATGTTGTTATTACATTCATGCCAATAAAGCTAATTTGAATTTGAACTGTACCTGGTAAAGAGCCGGGACTCCAGGATAACCAGATAAGGAGGATTAGGACCAGAGCGCAGGACCCAGTCCAGGTTTTCCTCTGACTCAAGTACATGGAGAACACCCACATTACCTGACAAAGACGCTGAAATCCAAAAGACAAAAAGAAAAATAAGCATCTGCAATTTTAGGTACAACAGCTGTACTAGATAAAAAAAGGCCCCAAAGCATATCTATCAATGTGTGTCTTCTATATTACTGGAAAGGTTCTAGGATGCTTTATCTGCAATTTCCGTGCTTTCATATTTATTGGAAGTTCATTTCTGACCCTCAAAGCTACAGCGTTTAAAGTAGACTGTGTAGTAAGCATTTCACTACAAAAGCCAAGTGAATGAAAGACACTCCGAGGCCAGAAAGACACACACTCGACATTTTGAGATGTAAAAACTATAACAGCTATTTTTAGTCATCATGAGTACTTTTGACAAGTACTTAGCATCACTTTAATCTACTGCTTTACTCACACTGGCAGCCTATTTGATGTGTTGCATTGAGCAGTCGCACACATGGGATAGTGTAATTGAGATGCACATAAATCTTCTTTTCCACCGAGTTACAGCTCACACCTGCAAGGAAAAAAGCACTTTATGACATCACGGCATATCTTTTACCAAGAATGGATAATAAACAGAATTTCTGTCACAAATTACTGTGTTTTAATAATTTAGAGGACCTAAAATGAAAGTTGCGTCTTTTCACTCACTAGTAAACACACATTACTAATTTTGTACTAGACCTGTTAAGAACTACACTCAGTTGCCAGTTAGATTACTTAAATTCTGTCTCAATTCTGACCTTTTAGATTGTCTGAAGTCACAGGCAGATCATTTCAAAATAGTGGCAATTTATTTAAAACATGAGTCTGTGCCCATTAATTACACTGTTTACAGAAATTATTGTAACGTTCATCCAACAGGCAGGTTTTTCAATAAACATGTTCGCTTTTCTTCACCTGTTGGTCCCACTGCCTTACCCACTAACGTTACAGCGCTCAGAGTAACAGCAGTAACGTTAATGTAAAATTAAAAATCTGTTTTAATTCAAACAAAGTGCTACTTTGGTGGGGTAACTGTAAACCGAAATTTACCAGGCCAACATAAAGATGTGAAAGTGACTTAATTTGTGCTTCGACTGCTTTGTCTATTTGGTGACGACCAAATCAACATTGTACTAAAAAACATTTAATGTAATTTGGCATGACTTTCCAACGGTTAATCCCTCGAGCTCCGGGCGGCCGCAGCGGGGAGATCACGAGCGGTCACGCTGATGCTGCTGAGCTGTTCCTATCAAGAGGGCATACCCAATCTGTGACTTGCTTAGAGAAAAGTCTTCCAAACGACTTTATAAAATAGTTATGATTACTTCTGAACTTCCAGTTACAGGAAATGGGTCAAGAATTAGTGTCACACTGAACCCCATTGTAAAACTTGTAGGAATAACCCGGCAATGGAGATCAAAGACAAACAGGGAGCTTTTGCTAACGCTGACTAGCCTGACGCTAGCATTCGGCTAGCTCCGAGCACAAAGCAGCACATCAAGCTAACAGCCTGACACAAAAACACACTCCGCTCATGAACAAATACGTAGACATGCTAATACAACGCTGTTAGAATACAACTTACCGATGAAAAACCAACAAACTAGCAAATCAACAATGCATTTGTACGAGAGTAACTCCATCTTCCTGGTTTGAAAAGCAGAACACAACAGTAAGTGTTGACATGGAAAACGTCCGGGTTCCGCTCTTTGGTTCCGGTCCCCTAAAAGGGGATGGACTCAGTCAAAATGGCAGCTCTGGTTTCTCTCTGCGACAGGAGTTATCAAGTTTTTCTGTACGTTTTATAATTAGCTTTGGGTTGAACATACGGACATGTAATAAACTAAATTATCTTCTCCCATATAATTTAGAGTTGAGTCAACTCTACATTATATGACTCAACCCTGTAGTGCACTCCATTTACTCTCTCTCTCTCTCACACACACACACACACACTAAAAACCAATGATCCTTCTCCACCATTGGTCACAAAGCTCTGCCCAAATACCACATTAAAGAAACACCACACAAACACACTGTATTTCGGTTGATAAACAGGCATTTTTATTTTATTTTCCCCCTCCAGACACACACAGTAGCACTGCTCACCTTTGAATTATTCATCTCATACAAGTCAGAAAAGTGACATCAGTTAGGTTTATAGCTCTAATAAAGCCACAGCACAGAAATGACACAGCAGCATTTACAAGAAAAAGCTTGATGCAGGACAGGTGATGCATGGAATAAGGTGATGCATGCAAAAGAATAAAGAAGTTTCACATCACGGTGTGCAAAACATATCTCTGCTTTCATTTCTCATGTCAATAACTTTGTTATTTCTACTAGTAAGCGTGGATGTGTTTGTCTGAACAGATTGTTCTCATCTTCTCCACCTCCTCTTAACGGAACTGAAGAGGACTCACACGCAGACCGATCACATCCTTACCAATCTCTGTCACCTAGAAAATGAAGTGAAATTAAAAAGGTTAGAGCTCATGAGGGGGAAACTATGAATAGTGACAGTACAGACACAAACATCCTAACAACCACCAGACCACTGCTTTTAAATTGTGCATTTGTAACCAATATTGAAGTTTGCCTTTATAAAAAGTACAATATCAATCCAATCTTTTATTTTGAAGAGCTGTTCAAGTTGACTGGACTTGTACATGGCTGTCCTGAGTCCCGGCCTACCTGTGTGACCCTGCAGATCTGGCCTTTGTATGTAGGGCAGTAGCAGGCCCCAGACAGAGGACACTTCTCAACAGGACGTCCACGGTACAGAGGGACGAAGGAGGCAGCGCACAGGTCGAATGGATTGTGGGGGTCGTAGTTCAACTGATGGGCGTCTGTCAGGGTCTTCTCACAGGCTGCCAAAATCTTGCGGGTCTGAATGGTAGGGAGAGATTTAACAAGATGGTAGGAGATGAGAAAACAGTATAGCACTGTCCATAGGTGTGGCTGTGGCTCAGGAATGTTAGTTTCCGTTTAAGCAATTAGGCTCAATGCATGAATGTGTGTGACTGCGATGTAGTATTTACAGAGCATTTACTTTCCATTTAAAATGGAAAACTTTAAATTCCCACTAAGTGAAGCTAAGGATGTCGCACGACCAACCTGCTGTGCAACGTCTGGCTTCGGCCCCAGCTCGAGCAGGCGTCGTGCAAAGCTGGCAGCCGTCTTGAAGTTACGCAGTTTGAAGAAGAGGTTCAGAGCTGTGCGCAGCACCAGCACCATGTGGACTGGCTGGAGATTACAATGGGTGAAATAAGCAGCCATCTGTAAGGAAAAAACACACACACACACACACACACAATTAGGCTTTGGAAGTGTGAATAATGTTCACTTTGTAGACATATTTTGGAAGATTTTGGTGATGGTCAGTCTTCAACAACAGATTTGCAAGCCACAGATATTTACCTCACACAGCCTCTTCTGCTGTTCCAATGTGTCTTTAGGCAACTTCTTCCTTTCTGTCTCCATGGTCAGACCCACTATGTACTCTCTGCAGATTGTGATCAGCTGCTGAGCCTGAAACACACATAACAAGTCTATTTAAATATATCTAGGTGTGTATGTGTGTGTGACCTGCATTTCTTTATTTGCACAATGAGCAGCCTGCAGCCCCACATGAGTTTGCAGCACACTTTGCACTGAATCCAGAGTTTAAACTTATTGCAATTCAAAGCCGGTGTGGTGTTCACCTCTGCAATCTCCTGCTTGTTATCGACCACCAGCAGAGGTACAGACAGCAGGATGACTCTGAAGCGCTCGACAGCTTCCTCAAATCGCCCGGCCGTTGTCAGCTGGTAGCACTGCTGCAGGCGAGCGATCAGGTCGGAGAGGCGCAGGCCCACAGCAGGAAGTCCTTGCTTTGGCCCACAGTCCTGAAAAATAAAAGCATTTGTAAGCACACCTACAGGAGGTGAACATACTGTGATTCTTCTTAAGAGATGACAAAAAGCTAACAGCTGTACCTTCCAGTTTCTCTGGGGATGGCCACGCAGACAGGGCAGAGAAGGCAGCCCCAGATAACAGGTGCGGCCTCTGGACAGCGTCTGCATGAACAGCGACTTGTAGGGGCCGAAGTTCACAACTCCGACCTGGTCGTGGAGCAGCTGCGGTACGGAAGAGAAACAGTAAATGGCAGTACAACATGGCATTGAAGTAACATTACATCAGTCATCCAGTCGGTGCTCGGCCACACCTCAGGCAACGTTACAAGAACACAGTTAATTTAAAAACAATATCAAATTCTGTACATACTCGCATGGCAGTTTCAAATGAGCCAGCCAGGATGTGGTCCACTGGCAGCTGGGAGTTGTTGCACCACATCTGTGTAGGACTAATGCCCTTGGTCGGTGGGACGAAGAAGCCATCCTCTGATCCTCCACCTGCACCAGCCGGTATGTCCTGATGGTTGGGAGAGAGATGTTGTAATAAGAAATTTAAACAGTTTAGCTACAGCGTTGAGAAGATTTGGAAGATCAGGCAGTCTTTCTTTCAGGGTGAGAGGTGAATTATTGTAATCGGTGTGATATGTAAAGATGTAGCTCCTCTCACCAGCTCTGGAGGAAGGTCCAGGTCTTCTTCCACCTCCCAGCCTCCTCCCTCCTCTTTCACCACTCCTTCCTCTCCGAATCCTTCCTGGGCATCCATGAAGCCATCTGAGAGACAGAGACAGATGGGGAAAGATAAATATCAACTTCTACTACAGTGCAGTGATGATGATGCGGCCAAATCCGCTCACTAAAAAAAGGTCAGGTTTAAAATATTCTTTAGTGACACAAAATTTACCTTCATCCAACTGAAGCTCAGCATCGTCTCCCCAGCCCTCGCCTCCTGGGGCTTCCATGTCCAAGTCGGCAGCCATCTGACCTGCCTTCCCTATAACAGAAAAACAACTGTTCTCAATCTGGGAAACGTCAGCAGCCACAAGTCTTCACGACACATACAAGTCATTTCATTTAATTGATGATTACATACAGTATTCGTCGAGTCTGATGACTCACCCTTCGCTGCAATGACTCCCTCAAAGAAGCCCTTTGATACAGTTAGCAGAGGCCAGTTGGTGTCCAGGGGGTTGATGGGTGGAGAAGGCTGCAGCAGTTGTGCATTGGGATCAACCTCTGGCACCTACAAGACACAAGATGCAATATTATTTTATAATCGATGTTGTATTTATCCACTAACATCAATGATTTTATCGTCAGAGCCTGTGGTGGAAAAACATGTATTCTGAAAAAAACCTAATAAGTGCTCTACTACTTCTGTTTCAGGCAGCAAGTTATGGTTGTAGATGTTACTTGTGCGAAAGGTACAGAGACTTTCTCAACACACCGTCTCCTTTTCTGGGTCAAAGGTCTCCTTTAGAGCCTCAGCCTCTTCATCCAGCCCGTGAGTGGCCGCAGTCAGATAAGCCAGCGACTCTAGAAACATGCAAACAAGTTGGCGTCTTGTTAGACTGTCATCTATTCAAAACAACAATGTGACTATGTGATGAAGGGGAGTATCAGTGAACACGATGAAGGTGCCACTTGAACTCACTCTGTCCACAGTTCTTCAGGATACGGACCCTCTCACTGACATCTCCCAGGTAGAGAGCCGCCTGGTAGTGACCACTCATGTCCTTCCTGATCTCAGCTACAAATAAAGAGTAAACAAAGACTAGAGTTAAGTTCACTGATACACAAACCTCCACAATGCCTGATAAAAAAACAAAAACAAATCCTAAATCTCTTACCGATCTTCATCATCTTGCGCAGCTTGGCCAGGTTGCCAGTGATGAGGTAGAGGAAGGTGAGCTTGTCAAAGTTCTTGGTCCTCTGGTAGCACATCTCCACGACCTGGTGGTGACCCTGCAGAAGTGCGGCTTCGCCCAGACGCTCCCAGCAGCTGCGCTCATCCAGGGCCTTGGCTGCCTCCAGAGCCACCTGGAAGTGTGGAGACAGAGAAATGCTTAATAAAGTGTAACTAAACCTGGGTCTCATGCAGAAATTTACCAGTGGAAGAATTAAAACTAGCGCTTGTGAGCTGAAATTCTTATAAAGCAAATTCTGGCTCATCAGAACAGACAAAAGCAACATGCATGTATGCCAATGTGCAAAAATGAAAAAACACAGAAACTGTGTCCTAATTATACAGTTTGTCCAGCAGCAGCTCACCTCGATGTTTCCACACTCCAGAGCCAGACTAAAGCGTGTCTTCTCATCTTTGACAAAGTGCAGCGCCACCTCAGGGTAGCCCTTCTTCTGCAGGTAGGCAATGATGGACTGGCCCACCAGCTTGGCATTACGCACCATGTGGAGCACCTGGAGGGACAACGATAAGAGGAACTGATTTCAAAAGCAGCATTTGGGAACTAAATGACCAGCACAAAGATCCCACGCCATCCACGTTCATTTCTATAAAACTGTTGAACAGTAAGTACAATATCGCAAAGAAGCATGTAGAGTGTACTCCAATAATTAATTCGCAAAGACGAGTGATCACCACAGACCCACCTCATCATATTTGCGGTTAACCAGAGCCAATTTGAAGCGGTACTCTGTGGGGTCGATGGTGAGGACGCGTGGCCTGCACTCCCTGTCCAGACAGTAAACACTGTTTCCTCTCACACGAGTCACATAGATAGGCAGGTCCAGGGTCCTGATGATGCCATGATCACTACAGGGGAACAATGAACGTACCATGTCAGGTGTTTTTAGAAAATAATCCCATCACCAGTTGGATGTGT